AACATCCCATGCTCATGGATAGGAAGATTGAACATTGTGAAAATGTCAGTTTTACCCAAAGCAATCTATACATTCAATGCAATCCCAATCCAGATCCCATCAACATTCTTTAGGGATATGGCAAAGTGATAGCCATGGAGAGGAGGAGGAAGGGAAGGAAGGACTAGTGCTGCTTTAGGTAATTTGTAAGTGGAGGGGAGAGCATTTGAAAGAATTCTTGTTTTCTGACCTTGCTTTCTCTGTGATGTTGGAAGTTTTTAAGGGGGCAGGGTGCAGTGCAGAGGTAGGTAGAGAATTCAGAAAACTGGTAAGGATCTGGAAAACTGATACCAGAGATAACTAAAGTGAACTGATTAGGGACAAAAGAAAGTTTTGTTGAGTATAGAAAGCCCAGCCAAGGTCACAATCAACTAAAGAGCATATCTAAAATGCCCGAGTCTTAGCTCTAATATACTTAGATGTTGAATGACTTGGGCAGATGACTTTCCTGTACCACTAATTTTTTTCACAACTAAAATGAGATAATAGTCATAATTGTTTATTAGAAAGATCCTGAGTCAAATTAAATTATGTTTATTAAAGTGATTTGTTAATTAGAAAACACTCTTCAATAATACTGGACTGAGTTAAAGCACTGAAATTCAACATTTTGAATCACATATGAGTTATTAAGCCTTGCTCCTCACTGCAGTCCTGAGTATCCCACAGTTGCACACTAGGTGATTCCCTTTGGACACTGACCATGGTAGTGTACTTTCAGTTATGCTTTGGAGTCTGTGCTTCTAGTATTCCTAGCAGGCCACTGTCCATCACATTCCTCTTACCTTGGCATGCTCAAAATCATTCCAATTGAGAGAGGTGGGAGAGATCTAGACAACGGAATCACAATGAGGTAAGAAAGCTTACTCTCTTGTTACTAAAGTCCTTTGGTTTCACGATACCCTAAGGTAAAGTACTTTAAAGAAGTAGCTTAACGTGGCTTGCAAATGATCAGCATGCATTACAAAGAGAGTCCCAGATCAGACTGTGAACCATCAAAATGGTAGAGCCTACAGAGGAACTCTTGTTGTTGTTGTTATGTGCCATCGAGTTGGACCCGACTCAGTGATCCCTCTTTGGGTTTCCGAGGCAATATCACTACAGAAGTAGATTGCCCAGCTTTCATTCTGAGGAGTGACTGGTGGGTTTGAACTCCCAGCCTTCTGGTTAGCAGTCAAGTGCCTTAGGTACTACACTACCAGAGCTCCCACAGAGGAACCCTTACATGTCATTTAGTCTAACACCCCTATTTTACAATTAACATTACTAAATTCAGAGAAATGAAAAGGCTTGTCTAAGGTCACTTAGCTATTTAGAGACAGAGTCAGAATTAAAACTCAGGTCTTCAGACTCCTCATTCAGTGTCTTTCCCATTAAGCTATGTCACTTCTCTCTGATGGCTAAAAACATTTGCCAGTTCTAATCAATAGACCCAACTTGATGGCTCTGTAGTCACTGATCTTACCTTCTTTTTGGGTAAACAAGCCTAATCTTTCGTCTCTTTTCTGGGCCGTCGTACGTTCAACCAATCTTTCAAACCCCTTTAAAGCTGTCTTGAAATTGCTAATCTGAAGTGCCATGCTGAAATTTCGCTTTTCCTCCCTGATATCCATAAGGACATAGGAAATCTTTTATTTCTGTACAGAAATAATAGTACAAAATTGCCAACTTGGTAAATCATCCAGTTGTTATAATGCCTTCCTGTAGTCTTAATTTTTGTCCTAGTTTTCATTCCTTTGATTTTAAAATACCATACTGTCGATAAGAGTAAGATTTGCCTCTAGGATACTAGCAGGGAGGAAAGCTGACTTTGGTCTAATGCATTTCATACAGGCAAATATTTCAGTAAAAATCCTGACTTCATAATGTTACCAGTGTCCTTCATATGGTCCTCATCGCATCATAATGTCTCATAACACCCTACTTCCCTCAAAAGGAGAAGCTTGAGGTTTGTTTCCCCTCCCCCCCACAAATTGTGTGCATGTTTGAGTATACATTGCCTGAGAACAATGAAACTGGGCATTATTTTCTTTTTCCTACATTCCCTCTTACCTCAAACATTTTTGCCTTCCTCAAGATGTTGTGGAGAATAGCTATACTAGTTCATGTTTAGAAACTTGAACTTCTAAACATAAAAATGTGTTTTAGGACCTGTAATGTCTCCCACCAATGAAGACATTTTGAGAGGTCATAGAGAATAAAAATGCCTCTCCTTCCTTTATGCATTGTCCTTCATAAACAAAGAAAGCTAGAAATGGAGAAGACATAGTTTCTGATTGTCAAGAAGATTTTTGAAAGTGTCAGTAGTTGAATATATAGAGGCCTCTCTGCATATCTTCTCCATTTCCAATCTCCGATCACATTAATTGCTATTGCTATTGATTCAAGTTTTCCAATCTTCAACTTTTTATGAGGAGAGGTTGTCTAATATTTTATCAACAAATAGCTAACTTCTTGTGCTTTGGGCAGTTAATAAAGTTCCCACCTCTTGGTAGTGCATCTTTGAAAATGTTCAGCAAGATCTTAATTCAGAGGTGAAATAGGTGCTATGCTGGGCACTGCCAGATCCAGTACTGTCTCTTTGATATCCAGTTCTGGCTACTACCTATTAGGAAAGAAAAATAAGATTTTATATATAGAAAAATCTCCTAACTCTATTATTCCTTCTTTTTTTCCCCCCTTAAAGTTTTCAAAGTAGTGAGTAACGAACTCACAATTTCCAATTTCAAAATATACTACAAAGCTACAGTAATATAAACAGTGTGGTACTGATATAAGGATCAACATATAGATCAATGGAATAAAATGAAGAATCTAGAAATAAACCCATACATCTATGGCCAATTCATTTTCATGAGTGCCAATGGATATTCAATGTGGGAAAGAATAGTCTTTTTGATAAATGGTGCTGGGACAACTGGATGTCCACATTTCCATATATGAAGATTACCTTAAAGTGGATCAATGATTTAAAGGTAAGAGTTAAGGCCACAAAACTCTTAAAACAAAATATTGGAGTAATCTTTGGGACTTTCTTTTAAGCAACAGATTTTTAGATATAACACTAAAAACATGAGAAATAAGAGGAAAAAAAAATGTAAACTGGACTTCATCAAAGAGGTGAGTGTGACTGGGGTGATGGGAGTGAGGGAGAGCAGAAAGGAGATAAGATCAGAGAAGCAGGGCATGGTGCCCAGATCAGGTAGGACTTAATAAGCTGCTGTAAGGACTTCAGCTTTACTCTGAGTGAAAGTTTTTGGGCAGAATAATGACATGATCTGACCTACCTTTGAAAAGGATTGGTCCAGCAGCTTTTTGGAGAATAAACTGAAGAACAAAAAGGGAAGAAGCAGGTAAACCACTTAGGTGGCAATTTCAATAATCCAGGTAAAAGCTAAGAGTGTTTTAGATTAGGGAACTAGTGATGGAGGTAGTGTTAAGTGGTCATATATCATGAAGGTAGATGTAACAGGATTTGCTAATGAATTGTATGTGTAGTGTGAAAACAGGAGAAGAGTCAATCCTCTGAGGATTTTGGCCCAAGATATGAAAGCACAGAGCAGTCATTTACTTTCTTAAAGGAGCAAGTCTGTGGGAGGTGCATATTTTGGGGGGAGTATTAAGAGCTCTCTGTTTGGAATATGTTAATTTGAGATGTCTATTAGATAAACAGTTGTGAATGTTGACAGACAGATATAAGAGTCTAGGGCTCAAGGAAGAGGTTGGGTGTCATCAGCATTTAGGTGGTATTTAAAGCCATTAGACTGGATGGGATCACCCAGGGATCAATGCAGATAAAGAAGAAAGAAGGCTGATGATTGAACACTGAGCACTCTAGTTTCAGAAGTCAGACAGATCAGTAAGAACAGCTGAAGGAAACTAAGTAGGAGGGACTCATGAAGTAGGAGAACCAAGAGAAAGGAGTAGCTCAGCAGCCAAGAGAAGAATGTGTTTCAATAAGGAAGGAGCCATTGAATGAACAATCCAATTTATTCAAGAAAGAAGTTACATGGAAGGAAAAAAAATGGTCACCGTTTTTAGGTGCCGTCAAGTCGTCTCTGACTGATAGCAACCCTATGCACAGCAGAACAAAACGTCACCCAGACCATGATTGTTGCTATACTTGAGCCATCGCTGCTGCCACCATGTTAATCCATCTCGTTGAGGGCCTTCCCCTCTTTCGTCAACCCTCCACCTTACCAAGCATGACATCCTTCTCCAGGCAATGGTCCCTTCTGACAACATGACCAAAGTATGTGAGATGAAGTCTGGTCATTCTCATCTCCACAGAGCATTCTGGCTGCATTTTCTCCAGGACAGACCTGTTAGTTCTTTTAGCAGTCCATGGTACTTTCAGCATTCTTTGCCAACACCATAGCTCAAAAGCATAAATTCTTCTTTAGTCTTCCTTATTCATTGTCCAGCTCTCACACACATATGAGGCGATTGAAAATACCATGGCTTGTGTCAGGCACACCTTAGTTCTCAAGGAGACATCTTTGCTCTTCAGCACTTTGCAGCCAATTTTCCCAGTGCTATACATCGTCTGAGGTCCTGACTGCTGCTTCCACTGGCCTTGATTGTAGAACCAAGCAATGTGAAGTCTTTGAGAATTTCAATCTTTTCTCCATTTATCATAATGTGTTTATAGGACCAGTTGTGAGGATTTTTCTTTTCTTTATATTGAGATGTAATCCATACTGCAGACTGTATTCTTCAGTCTTCAGTAAGTACTTTAAGTCATCCTCACTTTCAGCAAGCAAAGTTGTGTCATCAGTGTATCGCAGGTTGTTAATGATTGTTCCTCCAATTCTAATGCCACATTCTTCTTCATATAGTCCAGCTTCTCGGATTATTTGCTCAGCATACAGATTGAATAAGGATGATAAGAGGATATAACCCTGACACACTCCCTTCTTGATTTGGTGACACTTATAGATTGAAAGGGAATTTAAAGTCATACCAGCCAATCAAATGTGTGGATATTATTTAGATCCTGACTTAACAACCAAAAAATTGACATAATTGTGACATTTATGACACAAGTGGAAATTAGAATGCTTGCTAGATATGATTTTGAGGATGGCACACAACCTGGCACTATTTTGCTCTGTTGTACATATCGTCGCTATGAGTCACAGCCAACTCGACAGCATCTAATAGCAACAACTAGATATCTGATATTAAAAAATTATCATTGATCATTCGAACCTCAACCGACATGACCATAAGACCAGAAGAACTAGATGGTACCCAGCTACCACTGTCAACCACTTGGAAAGGGATCAAGGTAGGAGATCCTAGATAGAGTGGGAGAAATACGTGGCAAAAAAAAATCAAAATCATAAAGAAAAGACTAGGTTTGTTGGTCTGATAGAAACTGGTGAAACCCCCAAGACTATAGACCTCGTCACCTTTTAGGTCTGGAATTGAACTCACTCATGTGGTTTCCAGTCAAACAACAGACAGGCATATAAGGCAATCATTTACAGCAAGTAATTACACTGGTTAGAACAATCAATCATAGGCGATCAGAAGGTTAGTATTTGCACAGGGAGATACCTCAGAGGGCAAGAATGCATAGGAAAGACAGACACAGGAAAAGATAACCATAGGGAAGAAATGGGAAGAGAGCCCTTATAATGTGGGGATTGCAAGCAATATCATGAAAGAATATGTGTATGAACTGCTGTATGGAAAATGAATTTGCTCTGTAAACTTTCACCCAAATCACAACTTTAAAAAATTATTAATTAATTTAGATGTAATAATGGTATTATAAAGAGCTCTGGTGGTGCAGTGCCTAAGGCATTTAATTGCTAATCAGAAGGTTGGATGTTCAAACCCTCCAAGCTGCTCTGTGGAAGGAAATTGGGGCAATCTACTTCCATAAGGATTAATCACATTTGAAAACCCAATGGGGGTCACTATGAGCCGGAATCGACTCAATGGCAGTAGGTTTGGTTTGTTGTTTTGTGATGGTATTGTGGTTCTATTGTGTCTTATATTTTAGGAAATACATACTGAAACATTTACAGAACAACTTTAAAATAAAAAGGAGTAGTCAACTCTGCCAAATACTGCTGAAAGATCACTTAAGGTGAGAACTAAACATTAACCATTGAAATGTGGATTATTGGTAACGTCGATAAGAGCTGTCCCAGTGAAATGGAGGGTCAAGAAAGAATGGGAGGAAGGGGTGTGAAGACAGTAAGGATAAATGCCTATTAGGGCAGTGGAGCAATCCAGAGCTATTGTTACAGCCATTTACAGAGCTACCAGATGCATTTGCACTTGTATTTTATCAATTGTAAAAATGAACATAACCACAAAATTACCAAATACTAAAAGAAATCACCTATGTTTCTATCACACTTACAAAATTCATTCTTTCGTTTTGTTTTGTTTTTTGTTTTTAGAATTTTGCCATCTAGGCCCAGGCAATATAATTTGATAATTTCACACAGTTTCAATAGACCTGTGCAGATTATTTTTTTAATAAAAAAATTATTTTTTATAATTTTTATAATAGTTTTTTAGTGTAGTATTTAAAAAATGTGTTTCCATGTTTCTAATATCCTTTGTATGTATAATTTTTCTTTTTAAAATATGC